TCGTACGACCAAAATCGGATGCAGGGTGAATCCAGCATTAGGACTACCGAATCAGCTTGATGAATTTTGGAACAGGCTTTACAGTGCTGGCAGTACTGGCAGTGAGTTACGGAACGCAGCCTTTATTTATACTCTCAATCTTGCCATTACCGATTTCGGTGAGGATGACCGACGAAGGCACAAAACACTTCTAATACAATAATAAAAATTGTTAATTTCGACCTCTGATTGGCCTATCTCTGCTATCGTAAATATCCAAAGTAAAAATAGTCGACTAGAATGAAAGACAGCCGGTAGTTCACAGAGACTACGTTTACACCGTGCATTTAGGCCGCGGCCTATACAATAGATTATCCTGTAGGTTAAACAAAGACACCTATCATATAGGTCGCGGACTAAACGCACGGTGTAAACGTAGCCAAAGACAATCATTCTAAGGAAGAAAGAGTCTCTGAAGCCGACACTTTTCGAGTTCAGTCCTCTTTGCAATCAAAAGAAGATGCTTATATCGGATTATTAGGACACGTCACTTTCAAAAAATGTTCAATATAAATAACGATACATGTATGGTCGGTTGCAATTGCATCATTCGGTTTATCGCTGAAAAGAAACTAAACATGGTATAGACCTCGTGACAGCTCAATCACGCGCGTTATCATCTTTTCCGCTTATGAAAGAGAGCCGCGTCGCAGCATCCCTTCACGAGGACGATTACGAATCTGGGTTACTCGATATCGTAGACACATGACCGACACGACTCGCAGTCGCGACGTCACAATCGTCGTATCTCACTCTGGTGCAAAATGATACGGAAGATCATCGCGCTGGAATTCAACGAACGAACGCAATAAACAAATGTGATGCGCAGCTAGTATACATATATTATGTACATGCATACAAACATCCAACGACGCCAGACAACGCCAATGTACTCCACTACTCTGTTATCGTTGAATCACGTGGCCTATGGTGGTGGAAAGCAATAACGGGGAGAGGGAGGGATACAAAAGAACGACTGCTAGTCGGAAATCGTCAGAAACGATCGTGATTGCGTTACGTCCGTGATAGCCTCAGGTAGTTTTACCTTCAGCAAGGAATAGAGAAAGTTTGTAAGTATAAGTACTAATTCATTGTTCAAGACCCTCGATACGCAGTTCGTTTACTTCAAACAACAGCCTTTCATATTTCATCTATCTATTTTGCGTAAACTTTTTTTTTCATCTAAATCATTTAAAGTCAAACAGGTACGTATTTACACCGGAAGAGTTCAATTTGCGTAACAGAAACGAATAGCTCCAATTTTCTTTGTTTCTTTTCCTGCCATTTTATTTACACAGAACGCGATAACGCTCGTTTAGATTTTCGTAAATATTGTGCGTATCTAAATCAAAGGACATACGTCATATTATTAATATCAAAGCATCGTTTAGGTTAATCGAGAACGTCGAGCAAGTCGAAATGCGAATATTCCTGCCACAACTCATAAAATTTACTCTTTACCTTTTTTTAATTCTTTAAACTAGATAAACATAAGAAGTTAAAATTAAATTAAAATCAATCTATATTGGTAGAAATGGACATAAAGGAAATATCAATTCCAAAGATGAATATTAATCTTGAAAGTGGAGCTAACGAACAACTCTATAAAGTTGAACTTAATGCAAGTTAAGTGACTGTTTTAAAATCATTGTGTTCAATGTGTTTTTCCTGACACTATCTTTATATATGTAAAGCTGAAGTAGAGAATTCCAACTATAGAAGTTAAGATGATCAACTTTTTCGTACATTCATATGTTTACATGACATGTGAACAAGCAAATGTGAAGTTGGCATCATGCAAAGATCGATATCACAGCTGCCTATCAGATAACTATTATATATTTATTCTTTTGTCTGTTTAATTATAGGTTTGTTTTTAATTGCTGCACTTTGAATCGGTGCAATAAAAAACAGACCCTATTTTAGGTTTATTGTCTGTTTATTATTGTCTGGTTATTATTAGAAAATAATTGAAAGTTTCATATTTTATCATTACACTTCACATACATGAAGCAAATACTTGGAATATAAAATTATAACATGCTTTGAATATATCAAAATACAGTTTTGTGTGTTGTAAAATATTTATGATTGTGTAGAAAAAATCTTTGTTAAATACATATATTACTGTAATTTTTAAGTATATATATTTTGTAATTAAGATTATTAATTGAATCAAGACGATTTAGACAACATCAGGATAGAGACATATATTTATAAACTTTTTTTATACATGTATTTACCACGTGATTCAATAAATCTGTTTATCACGTCGAGTGGTAGCAAACGCGTCTAGTGCGCAATTAAGAGAAGATATCAAGAATACTTTTTCGTTTTTTTTTGTGTTTAAAAGAAAGAATTTATAATCATGTATTTCGTCATTTCAAGGAAAAGGAGATAACATTCGATGTACATGTATTTGTGACGTCAGTGTCATCAATTTTGTGCATAACTTTGTTTTTAGAGTACCATTGGGTAGATTGATACTGCAGTAAACTGTAAACATATGACTAATGTCGAAATCTTTTTATTACATTCTTTTGTCTAAGCAAGCTAGACAAAAGGATGTGATAAGAAATTAATAGACCCAGTTTCAAAATTTATGGTTAACTCTTAACCCAGATTTAACTTATTTCTTATCTCTTTCCAACTTTAAAATTTTAGAATTGGAAAGAGATAAGAAATAAGTTGAATCACGAAACTGGATCTTTGAACTTTAATCAGTAATCTATCGATTTCTTATCACATTCAAGTCTTAATAATTGGATAATCTTTTTAACGTTTCGGTTAAAGCGTTTCGGTTAAAGCGGTCAGAATACATCTAATCGAATCTGAAATTGATACGAAAGGAAAAACTTTGATAAAGAACTCTGACTATGAGACTTTTCAAATACAAGTATGTGTGTGCAAACATGTATGATTGATTCATAAACGACACGAGTCGCTTATTGTTCGACGCGCTGTAACAAGGTCGAGATTTCGAGATCCGTTATGTCTCCACGGTTTATCTCCACGTGATCGTGCATCTCTCACGTGTTCCATTGAAATAGGATCATATAATCTACACTGGGTCCAAGTTAGCACAGAGCAATTATCGCTGTGTCATCGCAGAGCAATTTTACCGCAGGTTTGTGTTTTCCATCGCGAGAAATGTGAGTCATTGTTAAAATCACACTAGCATGAACGGCAGGATAATCAAACGAATGATTATTTCGGAGGATGCAACGCACACACACGCACGCACGCACACACTCAGAAGAGAAAAATAATAAATTGTTATAAAACCGCAAATGGCGTAGCAGAGATTTTCATTCGATTGACCTCGAGGCATTTTTTGCTCACAATTACATAATATACAGGGTGTCCCGTAAGTTTTTGCCAACCACTTTTAAGATATTGCTTCTAACAGTGCGTGAAGAATGCGTCGTTTTTTTTCTAAGAATGCTTGTTTCTTATCAGAAAAACAAATGACTTTTCAAATATAACAGTTTTTGGAGATAATCGTGATACAAAAAAATAAACAGTCACACGACGCAATCGCCGGAATCCATAGTCCGGTCTTAGACTGCCTTCCCATGGAGAAAGAATCAATGGAACGGAATATTGATAGAAAAGAGATAAGACGAGGAGTATCCTATCTCTTTTCTGTCAATATTCCGTTTCATGATTTCTTTCTCCGTGGGAAGACAGCCTTAGACCATCTCGAGTCTTGAGCAACGTCTATGGATTCCGTACAATGTCTTTTATGGAGTTTTTGTGCAATTTTCAAAATTTTGATTACGTATATTTACAGCGGCAGGACAAGGCTTTGTTATGCTATTAATAAAGTTTATTTCTTTCTCTTACGTAAATTTTGAACTCTGCTCTTTCAAGCTAAGACTCAGTTTATAGTTGCTAGTTCATTAGGTTATTTTTTTATTTGATATTGCATTATAAAATAAAATTCATGAATTTTCTCAGTAAGATTGAATAAACGATCGAATAGAATAATTTTTTAATCTACAATATAAAATTAACTTTTTTGTTTTATATATAAGGGTTATATCTATTTTATATTATATTATTGAAATAATTCTTTTTTGTAGGTGATTTAATTGAAGAATAAACATGAAGAGTGTGATAGTCTTGTTGTTACTGGCAGTTCTTGCCATAGGACAGGCTATTTCCTTCAACAAGATTTTGGATGCAGAATGGTTCATTTTTAAGGTATAAAAGTATTGTATTTATAGTAGCGCTTAAGATTATTGCATCTCGCATCATAATGTTTATTCTAAAGAGTTAAATAAGATGAAAATCTAGCCTTCCATATCCAGTTACTACCTATTCTTTATAAGCAGTAACACTGACATGGATACTTTGTTTATCAATTATAGATTACATTTACACAGCACCCTTAATCAGATTTAATAACATCCATAGTTATGAAACTGGCCAATCACAGTCGTTCCATTCTTCTGAGAAACAGCTATGATTGGCCAATTTCATAACTACAGATGTTATTAAACCCAATTAAACGTGCCGTGTAACAAAGATCATAGATTTCTTTTGAATGTTGTAGATCAGTTTCTTGTGTAGAATATATTTCATAACAAATATGATATGATTAAATATTTGTTAAGAAAATAAAGAAGTCACTGTGCAAGAAATTCTCGAATCTTATTATTAAATAAAATTAATGATTAAAATGAAAAACTAAACTAAATATTGATTATAATGATTTTTACTTTAAGACACATCATAAAAAAGTCTACAAATCTTCGGTTGAGGAGGGATATAGAATGAAAATCTTCTTGGATAACAAGCGCAAAATTGTTGAACACAATCGCAAATATGAGCTGAATGAAGTTCCCTATAAATTGGGAATGAACAAATACGGTGATATGGTAAGTTTTTAAAAAGCAAATTATCTGTATCATGAAGCGAACAATTTTTCGTGAAACGCTTATTTTTCTTACAGTTGCATCATGAATTTGTCAATACTTTGAATGGTTTCAATAAGTCAACAAAGGCTCAAAAGCAATTTATGGGAGCGACATTTATCTCGCCAGCTAATGTTGAATTACCAAGAGAAGTCGATTGGAGGAAACACGGTGCTGTTACAGAAGTTAAGGATCAAGGACATTGTGGCTCATGCTGGGCATTCTCTACTGTAAGCTTATTTTTTAATAGCTTTAATAGATAGGATTGAACATTATTGTCTTTTTTTTTTCTTGTAGACTGGAGCTTTGGAAGGACAACATTTCAGACAAATCGGTATTTTAATATCACTTAGTGAGCAAAATCTGATTGATTGTTCTGGCCAGTATGGCAACGAAGGATGCAATGGTGGTTTGATGGATAATGCATTTAAATATGTCAGAGATAACAAAGGGCTTGATACCGAAAAGAGTTATCCATATGAAGCGGAGAATGACAAGTGCAGGTTTGTATTATTTTGCATGATTGAAAAACATACATAAAATTTAATGATTTATTAAACTCTTGAAATTGCAGATACAATCCGAAAAATAGTGGCGCTACTGATGTCGGCTTCGTAGATATTCCAAAAGGAAATGAGAAGAAGTTAAAGGCTGCAGTTGCCACTATAGGTCCGGTCTCGGTTGCTATTGATGCCTCTCATGAATCTTTCCAGCTTTATAGTAAATGTATGTAGTTTTATATATATTTATTTAATATATTATATATAATAGTTAATATAAGCTAAATTTTTTAAAAATTTAACTTAGTAATGAGTTTGTATATAAAACTTTGAATCTTGTAAATCGGAAATTTAATCCATAATGATTAGTTGGAGACTAATTTTTATGTAATAAAATCTGAATTTGTGTGTTCTTATTTTTTTTTACTTTAACTTTTTTTTACATTTTTTAGGAGTGTATTTTGAGCCTAGTTGCAATTCAGAAAATTTAGATCATGGTGTGCTGATCGTCGGCTATGGTACAGACGCAAAAACCGGTCATGATTATTGGCTGGTAAAGAATAGTTGGGGCGAAACATGGGGTGAAAATGGTTACATCAAAATGGCCAGAAACAAGAACAATCTTTGTGGTATAGCAAGCAGTGCCAGCTATCCTCTCGTTTAACTGCCGTTGATAACTAACTTTTTAGTTGTGATACTAATTTAGACATGACAACTATGAGAGGCCTAATAAAGTTTTATGAATTTTAGAATAAATTTTTATATCGTTTCTGATGTATATGATTTCCTTAAAATCGTATTTTTAACCCGAATGTAATTGATAAAATTGACGTTCTCCTACAGCCAGTTTTCCTGTTTTGCGCTATGAAAGGAATTGTAATTACAAAGGGAATTGTAATTACAAAAAAAATTTACTGTTTTCCTAACTTTTTTAGGTCTCTATACAAATTAGTTCTTCCGAATAAAGATAAAAAAGAAATATTCGTGAAAATTGCGAAAATTGTAAGCCTCGAAAATGATGATTCGTTGTTTATCGCTTTAACATATGTCTATTATATTTAGTGACAATTGTGGATATGTTACCTTAAGTTGTATTTTAATTTTTTACTTTTTGTTCACACATTTAGAATGATACTATTGCCCGGGATATTTTCTTAATATCTCAAAATAAGAATGTATTAATAATACACTTTATGTAAATTTAATTTTTTACACTAAATCTACAAAACTAATAAATGATGGAGGTTAATTATTTTAGTAAATCGTTACACATATCTCGGGTAATAATCCAGAGTCAAGCCATTATTACTATGCAAACTGATCTCTATTTTTTAGGAAACAAAGGAAAATAAAAAAATGTTTTAATTATGCTATTCTTATTTATCCCGATCTTATAAATAATAAGTTGGATATGTGACACTCGACAGTGATGCATCATGCATTCCTAGCAGTTGCAATATGTTTTCTTTTTAATATTTTGACTGTTGCTTCATTTTGTTTCCGCAAACTGAGATGATGATTGATCAAGTTTCCTCCAACCGACTTGCACTCATTCTAAAATAATTATGGAAACGAAGATCTTTCAATTTTAATTTTGGGACTGATGTAAAATAAAAACTGCTTTCATTACGATTTTCGATATCAAATGTTGGGCGCTGTTCAACATTTTTTTTTAGTATATTACTGTTTTTTATTTTCCATATAATGTATCACAGCAGCTACTGCGGCTGTATGTCATCTTTTAATCCATTTTAATCTCTAGTTCTACAACAATTGAAATTGTATGTTTAAACTGCTCCATAATTCAGGTATTCGTTATCGACGTCCTTGGCTACGATCACTTGATGCTACAAGTGCTTCGAAGCATTTTTTGATTGGTCAATTAATAAAATTCTTTCTTCCGATTGGTCAATCAAACGTTTCAAAGCATTTGCAGCGAAACATTGGGCGCGTTCAAGTCGACAAAGCGGCTAGCCTGCTCGCCGAACAAATAAATCTTTCATCTTTCAAATATCATCTTTCTTCCTCTTCTTTCCTCCTGGGAAGAAAAGGAAGAAAGATAAATTGGTGCAAAAGTTCAGCCAAAAAGAACAGGCCTAAGGCCGGAATCAGACTACGCATTGAATATTGAGATTGAAGATTGAAAGATTGAAATTTGACCAATCAAAACAATAGGAGCTAAAATTCCTTTGTCCTCACTGGTCAAATTGGCTGCATTCAGCGGACTCAACAGTTGAGTGAGCGTTCGCTGCTATTGACGTATTCTTCTAGATCTAAAATTATGATTGGATGATCTAAAAGAATACACTTGCACCCATTTTAATCTTCAATCTTCAATCTCAATCTTCAATGCATAGTCTGATTCCGGCCTAATATAATTGGTTGTTACTCATAGATTGAACCTCAACCTCAACATCTTATGGATGTTCCAAAATTTACTGCCTTACTGAAAATCTATAGTGCACGTCACGTAAACTGTAGCATTTTCAGCGTTGGTCGCGCTGGCACTGCTGGCAGTAAATTTGGAACACGGCTGACAGCCATAGTTGATTAGTTTACCACTAATTTAGCCGTCAAAATTTAACAGGATTCCTTTGATGCGACATGAAAGTTGTACTTGTAACTGGCGGTACCGGACTCGTTGGTAGAGCAATTCAAAATATTATCGAGAATGACAAAAAAGAAAACGAAAAGTGGATATTTGTCGGATCTAAAGATGCAGATTTGTGGTAGGTTAGATTAAGTGGCTAAAGTTAAATCAATCAAATGGGATTGCAAATCGCTATGTATGTATAACGTTTATTTTAACCAAATGACTTTTTGCAGTGATAAGAAGAGTACACAGAAGTTATTCGAGCATCATAAACCGACACATGTCATTCACTTAGCTGCTATGGTTGGTGGTCTCTTCCAGAATATGTCACATAATTTAGACTTTCTGGTAAATATCACGAAGGACACGTTATCTTTCATAATTTGTGTATCAGTTTATTTTATTGTAGCTTTAATCGTGATTTTAATATCTTTATTGCAGCGGAACAATATACACATGAATGATAATGTTCTGCACACTGCTCACGAGAACAATGTCGTGAAGGTTGTCTCGTGTCTTTCCACTTGTATATTTCCTGATAAAATATCTTATCCGATAGATGAAACTATGGTAGTAACATATATATTAGATACGACTATAATTAATGTGTATATAGGACAGTACATATATTATATGTATTTTAGGTTCACAATGGACCACCACATTCCTCGAATTATGGTTATAGTCATGCCAAGCGACTCATAGATATTGCTAACAGAGGTTACTATGATCAGCACGGCAGGCTGTATACCAGTGTAATTCCTTGTAACGTATTCGGTCCACACGACAATTTTCATCCTAATGATAGTCATGTAATACCTGGTTTAATGCGGAGACTTTACGACTTGTGCAAAGATGGTACGAAAAAGGCACCAATCAATATTTTGAAAATAATGATTATGAAAATAAGTTTTACGTATAAATGTCATTTGAATTTCTTATCTAATTAGCATTTTAATTCTATTAGGAAATACAGAAGATAAAGTGTTCACTGTATTGGGCTCTGGTAAACCTTTAAGGCAATTCATCTATAGCATAGACTTAGCAAAATTAATAATTTGGGTGCTGCGGGAATATGATTCTGTGGAACCAATTATACTATCAGGTAATTATTCATTTAGGTATAGTATTATTTTCCTAATTATTTTTCTAACTTTCTAGTAAACGTTATTTATCCATAACTTTAGCTGCTACTACTTTTACTATATTATCGGCAACATAGGATGTTTAAAGTCACTAATTAATATTTTGATTGTTAATACTAGTGGATAAATTTAAATCTCTAAAGAATAAGTAAAATACAATTTGAATTTTCTGATGGTAAAATGTTAAAAAATTCAGTATATAAGTATATTAGAATTTTTTTAGATTTTTATATAATCTGCAATATTAAAAAAATTTCCTCTATTTCTCAAAGACCTCTGCTGATGGAAGAAATAAAGTTCCGTGTTGTCGACAGAGGGTTAAACAAGTGTAATATTACATTATCAATGTTGTATAATTTTATTGTGGAAATTGCGAAAGAAAAATGATAATTTTTAGTGGACGAAGCGCAAGAAAAATCGATAGCACAAGTGGCAGAGACGCTGGCACGAACTTTCGACTTTAAGGGAAAGGTGGTGTATGATACGTCGGCAGCGGATGGACAATTCAAAAAAACAGCAAGCAACGCAAAATTACGAAAGTACCTGTCTGATTTTCAATTTACACCTTTCGAACAAGCGATTAAAGAGACTGTTGATTGGTATATAAAAAACTACGATCAAGCGAGGAATTAAAATAGCGAGATTGCAAATTGTTATTATAATCTTGCGATAATTTATACGTTAAAATATTAACTGAATTATAGTTCACTAGAATTCAGATATATCAATGCTAAATAATATAAATTGTTATTAAGAATAAATGATGAAACTGTATGATGAAAAATGATGAAAAATGTACTGAAGATTGACTGGTACATATATATATTAATCATATAATTTTATCATAATGTAAAAAGTTATTTTTGAAGTAAATTATCTTTATGAAACGTAGTATTTGTTATTCAGGAAGAAGGAGTTCAAAACTTTTTGTCCACCTTTATAGTTCGTTTCAATCAAGGTATCTAAAATCCACAGTAATTTCGGTGAGTATTTTCAAACTGTTAAATAAACATTTGAGAATACGTGAATATTTTTATTGATCTAGAAAGTTACCAATGTGCATACTAAACATAGATCCAGTCGAACACCTGCGGCGGTGCATTTATTTTTGCTCGTTCGCAGCACTCCTAAAGTATATTTTAGGTCAGCTTGCGCATAAATTTGGTTGTTAGATTGCTTTACGATGCGATTTATTGACTGCCACGATGTGAAATGTAAACGAATTTTCAGTTTTCGTAAATTATTGTAAGCAGAAAATTATTTTGTTTTAAATTTTAAATTAATAGTATCAAGAATCTCTCTCTCTAATCTTTAATGTATTATGTATTTATATAGTTTTAAATATTTTGATATAACTTTTTGCTTTTTGTTATAATTTTCTAGTAGATCTTTGGAGTCTACTTTTCTTAATGAAAGTGGTTTCTCTTAATTAAAAAATACAGAATCGCAAGTAAAACTATTCCAACTTCTGCTCATTAGCGAAGTTTAATTTGAGATTTAATTAATTTTTAATAAAATATCCGAAATGTTGCATATGTGCTGTAAAGAGCATACGTGCTACACTCTTTTAGATAACGAAGATCCATTTCACATTTTTTTTTTAAATTAATCTATGTCTTGAATTGAAAAGCCGGATAAAGAACGATGTTCGTCCACTCGCAAATTACAGCCGATGTCCGTTTCCCATTGTAACATCCTCGTTGATACAAAGACAAAGAGGAAAATTTTAATTAGCCAACGTCAGTACAATCGGCCCAGATCCCGAGAATAATGGACCGGGAAATAAAAGATCGGTTCGTGGAAGAAAAAAAGGTCACGATAATTTTAGCAATGGCGATCGATTCGAGTAAAGATAAGACGCGTGTCCTTATCGAGATACATCTCCGACTAGCGACGTGAGGGACTTTTCGTCCTGGTGGTCGTTTCCCTCGAGAAAAATGAATCACCGCTTTTCTCGAAATGTTCCTACGCGCGTGTTGCTATTCGTCGGTATAAGTAGCTCTTCGTTACCAAGATCAAATTGATCGATCTCTAACAGACGTAATTAACCTTCTAACGTCTGATATAATCGAATTGTCGCTTATCCACTCGCAGCCGCGTCTTTCGATTAAATTCCATTTCTTCAGTGAAAATTTAACGTCGCTATTTTCTTTGCAGCTCGTTCATTTTTAGCATTCTCAGTAGTACATTGAACTAATCGAATTAATGATTGAATAAAAAACTTATATGAAGACGAAATAAACACTTGATGTTAAAACACTGAAACTTTATAATTGTTTGCAATACTGTTCGTAATAATTTATGGTTAATATATTTCTTGTAAATTTTTACAATTTATTGATATTTTATACCATGCTGTACGGATAATTAGAGTAAAATTGCAATACATAACGTAGAGATATACAGGTACTTTAAATCATTATCATGCTTGAGTTTTTTACATAATTATTTTAATGATTCAACAAAACTACATATTTTCAGATCTATATCTTATAGCTAAATTTTTAGATACTTAAGAAAAATCGCTTTTACTGTGTAGGTGCGCGATTATTCTGATAAACATACGCGCGATTATTCTGATAAATTTAAATATGATTATAAATAAGTAACGATTTTAATCATGGGGAGGGTGGTGCAACGGATCGTTCATAATAAATCATATACATGCGATAAGATAAGGGACCGTAAATGTGAGAGACTTGTCATGAAATCCATCCATGAGTCTCTAAAGGAAGTTTAAACTTAAACTTAACTTCCTTTAGAGACTCATGGATGGATTCCACGATTGAATTTAACAAAAATACATGCTGTCCCAAGTCACATACACTTGTCTCAAGTCACCCACATTATTGTCGAAACGGAAGTACGTATATTTTGATTATCTACGCTTTCTGTCTGCGTGCATAATCGTATTCTAAGTAATATGATATTGCATATCTTTTCGAAGAAGAAATCGTGTATATATATATATATATACAAACGGATATCTATATATATATATACAACGGGAAAAAATTGTCACATGAAGAACACGATGTAATAAATCAGTAATGCGCAGCCTGCGATCCGCAAGCAACCCGTGATTTTTTTTACGACCCGCCAGCTCATAGTCGAAAATATAAAATCACATTTTCTATTTTATGCAACCGAAACAATCATTAAGGCCCCTTTCTACCAATATAGTTTAATTTTAATCTCGGTTTAACTAACTCTTCATCTTTTTTCAGTTCTGAGAATTAGAAAAAGATAAAGAGTAAGTTGAATTGAGATTAAAGTTAATCTACGTTGATAGAAACGAGCCTAAGCGACCCGAAGGATTTTATCTATTTCTAAAAATGATTCTCAGAAAATGACCCTTAAAAAAGGTTGCGCATCACTGTGCTAGATAATAAATTATTAAACTGTCGATTGGCTTGCGGAACGTATTTCGGCAGCCGCAGATAAATCAAATAAGAAAGAAGAAAGGGGGACGCACACGCGAGGAAGAGATGGAACAGACGTTCCGGGGTGCAAAGCGACGCGGTGGACGCGGTGCAACGACGCTCGGCGTCGAGACGCAAGCGCCCTTTGGTGCCGCCGCGACGGAGGGAGATCCGCTGGTTAGGGGGAGGGAGATATATCTTGGGTGCCACCTCGAAGCCGGCACGGTTCAGTCAGTCGTGCCTCGGGGTAGTTCGGTTTGATGCGTCTCGTTGCTCGTCGGTACCAAGATGTGCTTCCCTCGCAGTGGTGGCGCGGACGCAGAGTGATTACGCACTCTCGTCAGTCGGCACGTGGCCGGTGGTAACGTACGTAGTAGTGAATTTTTCGATATCTCGTTTAAAGGGGAGAATCAAACGGAAAATGACATTAAGGAGGCACGAAGTTCCGGGGCGATCTCGGACTCGGTAGCGGTCGGTCTGCTCTATTCCGTCGCAGACATCTCGATAGCGTTTAATTCAATAGGCTAAAAGGACGACGCTGTTTAGCGATTTTATAACGCGCGTCGTCGCGTGGAACATCGCGGAAACGGAACGAACTGTTCCTCTTTTATGTTTCACGAGGAGGCACGCAGGACGCGGGCTGTCAAGAAGGCGTCTAACGAAGATGAGAGGATAAAGAGACGTGGAGCCGCCAGTGATATCGGCCGGCTGATGGAACCGAAGCCGAGCGTCGTCGCCGACACAGCGTCGTCGTCCACGCAGTGAGCGCGCCGCTCCGGTCTCGAAAACAGACAAGTTCGGTTATTCAAGAGCTTAAGTGACCATCGGTCTTGGAACATTGGAAATAAGAGTGCTGCCCCGTTAGAGGTGTGTACAGATTATTTAAAAATTATTTTGGACAAATGTTAATGAAAATTACTTAAATATACAATATCACTTAATTAAAAAGTACTTTTAATTTCCATTTAAGTATCGTACATGTAATGTTTTTTAATTGTCGTTGAATTTGAACGATGTAAATTGAAATTTAGAGATCTTAATTCCTCAAAAAATTTCATTAATTTCTAATTAATAAAATTGTTAAAAAACTTATTCTTAAGAATAAAAAGATAAAATATTTAGTTTTACCATCGTAAAATTGAATTTTTTAGTAATTTTTCAATATAGCTATCGACTATCCAAATAACGCACAGGGATTTAATGATCAACTCAATTTTACGTAATGAAAAACTAATCTCGGTTTTTTAAAGAGTCAATCTCATTACTTCTGTTGATTATTTCGATCTAAAGGATAAACGTGTCAAAATTAATTTATTATATTTTAAAGGGCTATATATTAAGGGAGATAAACGATAGCGTGGTAGCAATTTACAACAGTAAAAATAATGCGCTTTTAAGTAGCTTTAAGTTGGTCAGTAATTTATTCGTGACGTGTATACGGCCGTTCGTTAACGTACGATAATTTAATTAAGCGATATCGATTGTATTTGTACTCGCGTAGGCTTGGAAAATTAGCATCGTACATATACGTGTGTACGTGTCGACGAGCTCTAAGTATTTTTTTTTTCTCTCGGCAGTATATTCGATTTAACTCGGTGCGACGAGTTCCTTTGTCTGCGATTTCGTTCACGTGGGTGTCTTTAGGTCGGAGAACTCGTGACGTAACTGAGAGCCAGTTAATACTAAACAGTATAAATATTTTCGACAGAATCGTATTTGCTTATTTAGTTATTCCATAAATAACATGATTGAATTCAAGAAAAGAAAAGAAAAAAGAACAAATTTAATTTATATTCGTCAATAATTAATTTTAATTTATTTTTAGTAGAAAGCTTGCAATATCTTGTCGCAATAATGCATTATTTTATATTTTCGCCATTAAATATATGTGTAAGTGTTTTGTGTATTTAATTATTTAAGGATTAATTTTTCCAATATTGCAATTCATTGATGTGCGGTTATATACATTAAAAAATCGATTACTTTCATTTTTTTCTCGTTATTTGTTTAAAAATTTATAAACTCTTTATAGACTTATTTTTACGCAAACATTTATTTGTATAATTGTTAAGTGAATAACAAAGCCCTTGTTGTTATTATTATTCAATATTCCGTATTGTATCTTCTACAACATTGCCCCGATATAAAATATCAAACTATTTGAATGTTTTCTTTTTCAATACGGCACTTTTATCGTTGACTTTGCCATTTAAAATTTTGTCGGGTTTCAAACTATT